GTTTGTTTCTTATTTGTCGCAAGAGCTCTTGTGTCAATTAAACTGGATGATAATGTTTTTCAGCGAGAATAATTTATTTGTTCCTAGTCGTTGCTGGTTCGGGCTATAAATCCAACGATGCAAGTCACTCGCGCAATTACAATTGAAATATGAGAAAAACGACAATGGAGAGAGCGTTGTTTGCTTCTTTTTCCTTGCTCGCGGCCAAACATAACGTTAGGAACCCTAAAAAAAAAAAAAAAATGTTTTGTTTCCTTAGCGTACCGTAATCCAATCAAATAATTTACGTTTAATTTACCCGAACCCAATTTTACGAACAAAATCGAGTGCTGTACAACAGACAGTTGTAACAGTCGGAAATCGCCAAGGTCGATCGCGAGCGCTACATATACAGCAAACGCGCGCGCGCACACTTATGGATAGGCATAAACGAGCGATCGGAAGTATATATATGTACGTGACCGCGCGTCGTCCACCTCCTTATCGCTCGTTTGCGGCTGACTCGACTCACGAGCACAAGAATATAAACATAATAATAATTTTCGCGTATTGTCCGTGTATACGTGTCGACAAAAGAACTGATTACACATGTACGTGTATGCGTATACTCATACCAGAGTGAAATTCGAGCTATAAGAGGATTTTTTTTCTCGGATAACGCCACGTTATCTGCCGATTATATACAAGGGAGAGCGTATCATTTTCTTCAATTGTTTTTTTCGAGCTGCAAAAACTATACGCACGATTGATAAGCAACAAAAATCCATGGATGCATAATTGTTTTTGTCGAGCGCCAGTTCACGGACGACCTTTTTTAACAATAATTTTCTACACTTTCACAGGTACATTGTACAGTAATCCCTTCCCAAATTTTGATACGCCCATCTCTTCGATACCATTACTTTTGGAAGAAGGAGTATGGAAAACATAATCACGATAATGATTACACTACTTTGCACACGTGCGGTTAATATACATGTATAACAATATCTGATATGCAAATGTTACGTAGGTATACACCTGATAATTTTTACCTATAAAGTGCGAGTACATAATATGCATTGGGCGTGCTGTTGCTTGACATGCACTACTGTCAATTTAAACTTTATGTACCTACACTGTCTTTCGTTCTCTGCTTCTATGTGTTACAACAATACAACCCTGCTCTTTGCACACGGTCGCAAGTGTATACGACTTACACGTGTATTAAACATATAATATGTATAGATACGTTTAGGTGATGAGTGTGTATGTGTTTATATATATATATAAGTATCCTCGACCTTTCAATTGTCGAGGTTGCGCTAGTTGCAGCTTCTCTGTGCGCGTATGTGTATGTGTACATCTATTTGGAAACATTTTTGCTTTGTAAGCTTAGTCGTGTTTTTTTTTTTTTTTTTTTTTTTTTTTTTAAACAAAAGTGGCAAAGGCACTTTCTTTGACTCTGACTGACAACAGAAAAGAGGAGGCGAAAAGATCATGTTTTTGTTCTTCGGCTAATATGCAACGAGCGTAGAAGAAGAAGAAGAAGAAGAAGATGTTGAAAAAATCTCAGTCTTGCAAGTTGAAGGTCGGCGAGTTTGATGTGTATAGATACGTACGTGCATCCACGGCACGCGAGAAAGAGAGAAAAAGGAGGCGCGTACGTAATGCCTATACGAGTATCGAGTGTGTATACACATGTGCCGAGCATCGGAGCGGCGGTTGATAGGTATACGTGTGTCGTCGTAGTATAGTCGCTGGAAATCGGCGTGCACTCGCGTTGTTGCGCAATCGAGATTATCGGCTTACGTAAAGGATGATACGGGAAATGAGAGCTCGCGACAACTGTAACAGTAACCTCCCTCCCTTTTTTTTCGAAATTTCGTTCAAAATCACGATTTTTTCATTTAGCTTTCAGCGACTTGTATCAAATTTTTCGTTGTTTACGAAATGACGTCTTTTTTTTGTCATACATCTCGCATTTGGATATAAGTGCGCGTCTCGATTTTTTGTTACTTCTCCTTTAGGGAAACACATATACATGTAGTATAAGAAAGTCTGCGAAACACATAGCGGCGACAACTTTTAATGTTTTTTTCAACCAAAGACACTATACAGTCGTGTTTTTGTTTTACGGATGCTCATCGCTAAAGGACGCTCAAAGTTTCAGGGTCGACCGATTTTTTATTTTATTCATAAACACATCAAAGTCAAACGCGACGATGAGTTGTATAGGTGTACATATTTTATTTATTTTTTTTTTTTTGCATTTACAATAAACAGTGTTATATTACAATACAAGTGTGTACAATACAAGTACAGTGTTATGTCACACCGGCTCGTGTTCGGAGAAACGAAATGTCATTTGAAAAGCTAAAATTACCTGTATGTGGATATGTACACCTACACACAGACATATGGAAAATCCAGTATAAGAAAGAAAGTACCTACACGAGCTGAACATAAGGATTCTCTCTCCATTAGCTGTATAGAGTAGTTTTTCACATTTGTGGAAACAAATACATGTAAACGGTCGCTACGCGCCACAGTAAAGGAATTTACAAGTTGGGGGGGGGGACTTGAAAAATTTGTTTCTCTCTTTCCCTCCTGTTTGTTTGCCAAGTCGAACCGAAGCAATAGCGACGAGGCGAAAGAAAGAAAAAACGCGTTCCTCGAAAGATCAACAGACCCAATGCAGCGGACTTTCACGGAAAGTGAAAACCGAGCCGCGATCGTTACACTTATATTCTATAGATCTGCGACGACGAGAAACACTTGAGATTGCGAAGAGAAAAATTGTACATAAAATTTTCAAAAAAAGGGGGGGCCAAGGGGGGTTGGAAAATGTGTATGAATTTGGAAAAAAAAGTCGAAGAATCGGCCAGTTATATGTAGCCTATTGGGCTCACATACTACTCTCACTCCGCGGTGGCTTCGCTGATGGTAGCCGGCTCTCTTTTAGGTCGCTCGATAACGGGTCTCGGGGGGTCCGTCCCTCCCCGTGCCCCCCACCCTTATTGCTCTCTCTCTCTTTTGCTATGCGGCTGTACGTGTGTATATATAATATGCCACGCGATGCGGACGACGACGAGGAGAGCGCGTAACGGCGTGGTATTATCCAACGCTGTTAGGCATATAGGTATATGTATACGGGCTCCTTATATGAAAGTCTTTTGAAACTAAATGCCACTTGGTGATACGTGTGTCCTTCCCTATAAACCTACGACTAGTGAACCCTTTTTTCCGCGTTTTCACTCTTTCCTCTTTCAGGCGATAAGCCACGTGCGCCTCTCGTATCGTGTGTTGTAATACCCTGCACCCACACCGTTGCCGCGGTATAGTCATGTACCCATATATCTTATATTCGGTGATATACCCAACTTCTGTCGATGATGAAACATGTGACTCTACATATAGGACTTGACGAATTTCAAAACGATTTAAAATCGATTAAGAGACTTGCCTGACATTTTTTTAATTAATTTTCGTTGGAAAGCCGACTCGGCGAGGTTTATTTAATCGTTACACGTTTACTAAAAAAAAAAAAAAAAAAAAAAAAAAAAAAAAAGAATCCAAGCTAGACCACATTTTTGTCGCTCAAACAAACGTACCTACAATAATTTAGTTAGTTATCGACGACGACGAACTTGTGGGTCTTTGCTCTTTTAAGCCGATAATAAACTGTTTTACGTACGTATGACACGGTACAATCATTAAAATACACGCACGTTTTTATGTACGTGTTAAAAAATGAGCTATATACATACGTATAGTATAGTATACATATATACTTGTTTTTTAAGCTGATCATGACCTTCTGGCGGAGTGTGCGCACTAAAGCTTATCGTACACACACGCGCGCGCGCGTATACATCGGAGAACTAAATATATATATGATGTATAGGTGTTGCGAGAAATCGAAGACTTTGTCTTTTTTCCGAGTCTCTTTATCATTGAAATTATTACCACGAATTTGAACTCGAAACCCAATCTTTATATCTTCCATTTAACTTTTATGCGCATTTAACAGGAGGAGGTGCAAGAAAAACGAAGAGGAAGCGGAGAGACGGCAATCAATCACCAGCCCGCATGCGTATGCACACGTGTGCGTTTTGCATTTGGGGGAATATGCACTCACACATACGCGTTATAAAATATTCACGTGGGTTATAATGACAAATGATGAAAAAAAACAAAAAACGAAAAAAAAAAAAACTGCAAGGTCAACTGCTTGCGAATATCGATCCGATCGAAGGCCGCGCGCATCGGAATTCCGCAAATTATGGAAAATCAAATATTATCTCTCTCTTCTTTCTACGGGTAGAGTGACACTTGTCGTGGATCTTTCAAACAACTGGGTGGAAAAAAGTTATTCTTTGGAAAATATCGAATATCTTATTTGTAAAGCGCCTTTTTTTTTTGTTCCCCGAACAAAAGAAAAACGCCCGCAAAGATATCGTCGAAAGAGAGAAAGCGCGAACAAGAAAGTAATTTGGGAATTTGAGATTATGATTACACTAATTAACGCCCGAGGGGCGCGCAAATGAAATATCGCATTCCGCGACGGATAACAGTATAGCGTGGATTTTGGTTTTTTCCCTCTCACTCTCCGATCGCCGCTATTAATACATATACGCAGGTTTGGACGATTTTTTAAAATTGTTGCCAACACGTACCCTGTATGGTGTATATCTATACGTGTGAGAAAGTGGTGATGTGGCTCATATACATCGCAACTATGGTAAAAGTGAAGGAACTAATCTGCGCTCTCGCTTGCACGTGTTCAGCGAGTGTCGCGCAGCAGTGTATAGTGATATACTAATCAAGAGATCGGTAGGGAAGTTTTTACCGATTTTCCTTTTCGAAAGTCCAAAACAGGCGCAAAAGTCCAACAGTAACATATTACCAACGAGTAATAAGTAATTAAACAAAAGTAACAATGTTCAAATAGTATTCTACGAAACGTTCAATATTAACAACAAAGAGGATGAAAAAAAAAAAAGAGTAATGTTCTGTACCTTCGTGGCAGTCGTACTGGAAGTCCTCGTAGTCCTGGCAGTCGGGCGCCGCGGGCGAGACCGGCGAGTCCCGGACTTCGGCCTTGGCCATGTACTGACACGGCGACGACCACTCACTCGAAACAGCTGATTGCGTGACCATGCGCCGGCCCTCAAAGTTGCTGACCCTCTCCTCGGAGTCGAAGCCTGACTTGCGATCGAAATTCGGATTTCTCAGCTGGTCGTGCGCCGCTACCGATGGCTCGTAAACGATTTGTCGCAAGCTCATCGCCTCGACCGGCTCCCGTTTCGACTGCATCAGCTCCTGCACTTCCATGGACGTGCTCGACGGACAATTTCTCCTTCCGGTCATCTTTTCCATTTTTTTCTTTTTTTTTTCCCTCCTGCTCTCACACCTACAACAGCCGGCACTTAAACTTTGTCCGAAAATTCCGATGACTAGGCCATAATCGTCCTCTTTCAATGTCCACTAATAATTTGCAACGGTACAAAAAATCACCCAACGCACTAAAAAGTCCGTGTACCTGTGCACGCACAACAATAGTATAAACGTCACGAGCTAGCGCCTCCGAAGCTACGAGTATCGGTGGCTGTACTATTATTGCACATAGTAGCGCGGTCGTTCAAACCCGAAACGCGTCAACTCCGTGCACGATCACAGCTGGTGGTGGTGCCGTTGCACCAAGGCGCATGTATATAGTATATAGGGGAAGAAGAACAAAAGGTATGGGTATTGTGTCGTTGATGCACTTTGGAGATCGGATGGGGAAAACGTGGAAGAAATTCCGTTCGATACGGGAAACGGAGGATAAGGTGAATAAGACGGCACTGAGAGAGTGGAAGAGAGGAGAAGTTGGAGGTAAAGCCCGACTGAAGCGCGCGGCTCGGAGTCTAAAGTTCTACTGACCTGTCGACACTCGACGGTTGCCGTGCTCTCCGAGACTCCGAAAGCAATAGTCTCTCCCCCCCCCCACTCCCCTCTTGGCACCGTCTCTGTCGTGCTCTGTCTGTAGAGATGTGCGTCACGCGGCAATATACTCACGGAGTGAGTTACTTACTTTGTTGTATTGGTGCATGGTGAGTACGGAATACTTATAACAGTACAAGTAGTCAGGAGCTGTTATTAAATGTCAACGTGTTTTTTCATGGATCACTTTTATATGGGTACCTGTGTAATCATTAATTCACCGTCACTGGAAATTGAAATTCGAAAGCTCGAATTGGATAATTCATGTTGTGCAGGGTCTGCAGGGTGGATAGGTTTTTTGTTAAAACTGTTGGGACAACTTTGTATAATACATTGGCAGATGTTTTGAAAATGATTTTTCCACCCTCGGGTGGTTTTGGGAGGCTGGTACTTCCTCGGGCGAAAAAGCAGTTTTCCAGAACTCGTTCGAAAAGTCTCGCCTTCGGCTCGGGCCGCAAACCTCTCGGTTCGCAAACAGAGACTTTTCAAACTTGTAGGAAAACTACTATTTTAATTCGTAAGGTACAAATCACATGTACCGTTAATACCCAACCAACTTTGAACACTATGCTGCTTCTATACCCGATGTACCATTGTTTTAAAAAGTTATATGATGCTCGTTGTCGCAGACACCCAAATTCGTCGTTTTTACTTCATCGGTTGTAACCACCACACAATACGATGTACATTACCTTTTCCAAAATCACATTACGAGTGTCATGGTGTAGAGCCACGAGTCTTCAACATTGTCTTAAGTGCAAAAGTACGAGGTTTGATGCTCACACCTCTACAGAGCTACACAACTTGACCGTGAACTAACTATTGGGTAACGATTTACAAATTATAAGTTTACTGCATAAAGGCTGTAGTAATGTAAAAATGTATGATTTTTAAAAATACTTTTTTTTTTTTTTTTTTTTTTTTTTTTTTTTTTTTTTTTTTTTTTTTTTTTTT